TATATATATATATATATATATATATATTCTTCCATGTGGGGTTGGATTGGGGCTTTGATGAGATGGTTGGTGGGGGTCAGTGTGGGATGCGTGACTGCTTGGACTGTTTTGCCTTGCCTAGAGCTCAACCTTGTTGCTGACAGACAAACTCACATTCCTACTGTAAGACAGCACTGAGCAAATAAAGACTGACATTCCAATGATATTGAAACTACAGTGGAAGGATAAGGAAGGATATCATCCTTTTTTAAGACTCATCTCAAGTCAGTATGCAGAAATGGATGCAAACTAAGTGAGAACAAATTGAATGAAAGCTAGAGATTGTTTAGATTTAGATTTCTACAGTAAGAAGCAGATGATGCAAGACTTGCTGTTATGCAAAATGCACAAACATTGTCTTACAACAAAACTATAATCAAAACTATCTGTTTTAGGTGACAGAGGTACATTAGCATTGCACAAGCTGTCAGATAGTGAAGCCGTGTAGCACTAGGCCATTTTAATGTTACTACCCACAGGGTGAATCAGTGTGCAGGCTTCATGCATCATGGAGACACACAATGAAGACAAGACATGCCATTAAGGTCCTATCCTATTGGCCAGATCAACAAAGCTCTCATTCCTTATCAACAACTAATGTTGCAATTAGCATTGAACCAGAAATACTGTTTTTGTTAGGCTCAATGAATGAAAGGGGTTCGACTTCACACTGAATTAGATAATTACACTTTATAAATGATAAAACACTCACACTAAACTTACGATGTATTCCTGTGTAATTTTAATTCATAAACTGCAGTCAGTGATGCTAGGGAGAATATCCATCAAAGTATTTGATTCACCCCCACAAAATGAAACATTTATAGCATCACTGCACAATCTTTTTTTTTATTTTTTATTTCCCACTCTGATATCTGAAAACTCTTTGAAGTTGCGTGGGCAAGCATCACTTAAATTGGTTTTATTCTGAGTGAGCTAGTCACACGCAGCAACATAAAGCGGCATATTAACGTCTGC